CCGAACTTGTAGTAGAAGACCGAATGGATCTTTGTATACGGCGCGACCCTGAAATTGCGATTGCGCGTGAGCGCGTTATCTGACGCTCAAAAAACACGTACGCACCTTTAATCACTTGGCGATAAGCGGAAGGGCGGGGACTGCGTCGCTGAGCGCATTGATAAGGCAGAGCATCTCGAGCCAGAAGAACAATCGCCATAGAACTGCGGCGAGCATCAGTGGAGGAACGATGAGTGGTGTCACTCCGCGATCAGGGCTTTCACGGGTTTGTGGGTATGTCACACGTTCGACAACATGAGGGAAAAGTCAGTCTGCGGTGCACGAAGGAAGTTGGAGCTGAAACGATTGCAAGCATTTTTTGTTGCGTACGCTATACTCGGTTATTCTGGAGGATAAGTATCAATATCGCTCAGCTGACAAAAGAAACAAGCTCAAAAACTCACCTATCGAGACGTTCGACGATCCTCTTCAAAAGGCCAAAGTTTGCCTGAGGAAGCCCGTGCTCAACGCTCCGGATACGCGCAAGCCGCGAGTTAAGATTCTCGAGCTCTGCAAGAACATGAGCGTTGAAAAAGACCGTTGATGGAATGTATTTTACTCATTATCTCGATAACGTTGAAATAGGACGGCGATGAAAAGAAGGTTCGGGGAGTAACCTGAACGATGACTTGACCAAGTCGCACGTGGGATGGATATCATTATCGGGGGTGATAGGCCACTCGCCTAGCGAATCCCAAGTTAATTACCTGCAGCGCACTCCAGATAGAAATAATACGTCTGTTGAAACTCTCAATTGGTGGACTTGCGGAGGGAGAAGTAAGCGAAGCAGGCAGAGGACTGGCGCCCCCTTTGATATTTGATAGTACTAAGCGATAGATCTTTGTAAGCCATCGATTTCAAGAGAAATAAATCAAACGTACTTTTTGACATGGGACGATACGGCTCACCCTGTGAGAGCAGCTCCTGCGTCCGTCGCTGAGTTTACAAGGCCGGCCAGGGAGTATGCACCTGGAAGCCTTGTGGGTATATCTTCCGCGCTGCTTCGGTGGATGCAGCCCCTGGCTGTGAAAAAAGGTATGTATATATAAGTAGTACAACTTGGGTTATGGACCGCAGGCACCTATGAGGTATTTCCCGCGACAATCCAACGCGAAGGTAGGGAATGCATCATGGTCAGAATAGTTGGAGTAGTGAAAAGACTGACTGCACTGTCCCACGAGAAGCCCTAGTGAAGAGGGGGAGGAATATGGGTCCGTCGGAGCTTTGACGGATGGCTCGAACTACGGTTGCGATTAACATTTAACTTGCGCTGCTCCTCGGTTAGTCGCCGATAACTTGAAAGGCTGACGCTCGCACCTTCAAGATCATTCGCCAATGAACCATTCAGGATGATCTATAAGTTGGACGTGATTGATGGAGTGATGGATCAAGCAAAGCTTTGGCGCCTTCCTTCTATTACGGAAGTGTACGGGGGAAACGCGGTTATGCCACGTACTAGTGAGTTCTACTAGAAGATGGCTGCGCTTACTAAGAGCATGCCTACTACCACGGTCCTTAAAGTGAACTCGTCCTCAAAGTCTGTCCTTAAAGGGAGCTCGTCCTCAAAGTCCGTCCTTAAAGTGAGCGCGTCCTTAAAGTCCGTCCTGACTCCTTAAAGCGCAATTTGAGGTTTACGCTGCGATTCTAGATCTGAGTCTTCGCCCCAGTCCTAAGCCTGCCTCTCAGTCTATCCTTCAAGGCGTTATACAGTATAAATTCATTCACAGACGTCAACTCAATATTTGCTGAGACGTCCCTCCTAAACGTCCCAATAGACAACGGAGTCGGAGCCCTCTCCATAGGCGTCCGCGCAAAATCAGGCGGTCGCTCACCCCCCATACAAGCGTACGCCTTTCCTTAGCCTACCCGTCAAAGAATGACCTCTCTCGCGCCCGCATTCTTTTTCTTTTCATCACGCCCGCCGCGCCCCACTCCAACTTTCTTCACAAGGCGACCCAGACGCTCAATGGAGCCACGACCTCTACGAAGACCCAGAAAAACCCAGCCTATCATCGAGACTCACCTTGAGCGCCTAGCGCCTATCGCAGAACGTAATTTCGTCGAGCTCCCCGGGATGAAAAGTAGATACGTTTGAGCCGTAAAGCTTTTATGAGGCATACGCAGCCTTCTCATCGAAGATAAGGGCGCCGCTGCAACCTTGAAGGAATTCGCGTTTTCCGACAAATGTAACGGCAACCTTGAAAAAGATGCAGCATGCCTACCGGGCATACCGTCGCGCCGATGGAGTCATGCCTCTACTGATTCATTGCGGATATGAGGTGCAATTTGCTTTGAAAGGCATGCTTTCCGAGGGTCAGTCACCTCGGTGCAACGGAGACGAGTCGCTTACTCTTGTTGAACCTCCATTAGGCTTTCAATGACAGCGTTGCAAGATGCTCGTGCGCGAAGGCTCCTTCCGCTGTCGCTATCCGTCGCCCGGGTGGCTAGTGACATCGATGAAATCGAGGACGGGTTTGCATCGCTGGTGCTTGACGATGGGTCTACTACAATCCCAAACAGGTCAGAGCGTTGACTTTCTTCTCCTGACTATATACAAGTTTACCGGCCGGGAGCGCCGACAATGTAGATATTCCGCTCAGATTCGTTATCCAAGCTGCGTTAGCAATTATTCTATACCTCCTCGTCGACCTTCAGAGAAAGGCATCTCGATTCTCGTGAGTCCTGCATTTGACGCAGCTGTTGCGTCTTGCTGAATGCAGATACCGGATCTTCTTCCTATTCATATTCGCTATGACTATGAAGGCGTCTTTTAGAATGATCGCTGCGTGCCTTAAGACCGAATCTGCGCATCCCGCTCGGCTTGTCTAGTTGTCGCGGGAGGTGTTGCGTATGTTGGCCTTGGAGGAGTTCTCAAGATCAGGTTGAACGTTTCCAGAACTCGGTTCACTTTCTTTCTAACTTTCGGCGTCTAGTTTCGACGCCCAGAGATCTTCTCAAAGATCTCTAAAGTGGAATGGACATCGCAGCTTTGTGCCATCGGTAAGCCTTCCGCATTTCTCTCGAGTTTCTACTCAGAGCGGTGCTCGACGGTTGCATCCTCCGCCGTTGCTTATTGATCATGGCGGCCATCGGCTCTCGCATCAACGCTTGGAAGATTATAAACGCCGGCCTTCCGACCCTTGCATCAGCAGCCGTATGAGTCCCGCAGCTCCGCCTACCGCTTCATCTCACGTCGAACCTTAAAGAGGTTGGGTAAGCTTACCCGAGCTCTCTGCAAGTCTCCGCATCGCTGATGCCAGCAAGCTCGATCGTTGGCAACTCTTTAGGGTCCATTCTTGACCCCTTACCGCGTCGTCTCTGGTTACGCGGTAGCTTGAGATCCATTAGATCAATAGCATATTTGATAGACGAGCGAAAAGAAATTGCTACGATCGGGGCATACTATCGATGATGATGAACAATTTGTGAAAATGGAGTTGTTTTCGGGGCTTAGGTAATATACATCGCAGCTTATAAATAACGCTGAATCGCGGCGGAATGGCCTTCATCCGCTCGCCGGCCCTGAGGCCCTCATAGATTGAGCGACGTTCTCTGCAAAGGCCATAGATTGGCTTCTGCAAAGGCCGTAGATTGGCCTTGAGCGTCCTGAGCGGATAACTTCGAAATCTACTTCCCCTTCGCTCATTTGCACCAACGCGCTCGCAGGCCGCCATTGCGTCGACTACGCAAGCTCAAGCAATCGTAGATTGAGCTGCGTTCTCCTCAGAGGCTGTAGATTCGCCTCGAACTTCCCGAGCAGATAACTTCCAAATCTTCTTCAGAGAAGTTCATTCTCTTCGACCAAAACAACACCGTAGTGTAGTTAGATGCCGCAATCAAGCCCGCTCGATTTTTTATTTGCAAGTGGAGCTTCATTCCCGACTTCATTGTCATTTCCTACGGCGCTATCTCCAGCCTATTCTGGGACGCCTCGCGCGAGCTCGAACTTTGGAAGGCTTTAGGCCTTTTGATTGCAAACTGGCAAAGCGCTCCAATGGACAAATATTTGAGCGCAAGAAAAATAAGATCAATCGCTTAGTGTAGTCCGTAGGTGGATGCAACTCGAGCTGCCAAGCTCGCGATCTTACGCCCCATTGCTGCAGGGGACATTGCTCGACGTTGAAAAATGGGAACTGCGCTACAGAGTTTACGCCCAAGTCAGCCGCGCTGTACTACTAGTGGGGTGGTCAGATGGAGCAGCTCAAGGGGATCAAAAAGGCGCTCCGTATGGAATAAGACGGGGAGGACGAGCTCATTGAAAATTCAAGGAGCAAGCCGCCTTGTTGAAGATGCTGGAGGGCACCTGGAAGGTCCTTGACGAGGAACTCAATAAAATGATCGCCCTGCTTCGGAGGCGCATGCGACAAAACGATCGATTCTTAGATCGCTAGTGAGCGTTTTCAATCACTTCGCTTCTGCATGACCTATATTCATCCTTCAGACCTTCTTCGCGCGGACGTCCCTGTCGACTTATCATGCGTTCGGTTCGTCTGCACGGTGAGACATCCTTCGCACTTCCAACGCTGACAACCGCGAAAGGATTTGGTCAGTCGATTTGGAGAATATCTAGTCGCGATCTAAAGTCAGATATGAGCTTCAGGCATCTATTAAACCTGAGAATCACCGTCATGATCTTGTCTAGGGACGCTACCTCAATAATCGCAACTGCCCAGGATACGACTCCAAGCGCGCAACTAATATTTCCTAATACTGCGCAAGTGGAGTTAAATCCATATTGCGGGATGTAAGCTACGCGTTACAGCTCTCAGCATCAGAATGTCAGACTGCGTTGATCGCTCACGATAGTAAGGGGGCAAAGAACTGCGGCATCGTTTTGACCAGAAAGATTACGGTATAGCGATACTCGTTAACATCTGTCAGGCGTTATTTGCAATAGACAATAATGACGATGCGATTTTTGGCCGCGATCCAGCAATTCTCCGACGGTCGAGAGGGTTTGTAACCTGCGCAGTATGAGTTTTACATCTAGAGCGCGCGCGAAATTGTACGTACGTTGAAGCTGAGATTAATTTCGTTGGTCACGAGTGGCTAGGGTGGTTCCGGGGTATAAAGTGGGGATAATCGGAGCGACGTTCAAGCCTGCGACTTCCATGAGCGAAAAAGGGTGGACGGACGTGGATATGTTACCCGCGACGCTAGTCGTCGAAGTCACGCCTTCAGGCGCCGGCCGGAGTGATGCAAATGGGGTACTCGCAGAATCTCCTTGAATAGTAAGTGGAAGACTATTGCCGGTTTGCAGGAAGCTGGTGGGGAAGCGCTGCACCGCAGAAATCAATAACCAGGTTAGAATAAAGTCTACGACGCCAACTTCAGCCACGATATCATTCAAGTTTGCCGGCTCGTAATAGAACTCTCCTGGAATCGTATCTTCCCCTGTAACCAGCTAAACGAGAAGTTCAGCCAAGCCTATAGCCACGTCAATCATTCACACACATTGAATGCTGCTCGACCGATTATGACATCTTGGTAGTAGGCTGGCAGGGCGATGTCAGCCGCGTCAAGCGAGATGTTGGACGGGTTGACCATCGAAGATGTGAGGGGCAAGATGATATATCGATTTCCACCATTCCTGCCGCTGCCGGAACTCAGGATGTTGGTTATTGCCGTGCCGCCAAAGGAATTTATGCCTATTGCGCAGTTTTAAGCATGAGTGGAAGCTCATTCGTATTGAAACTCACCAGCTAGGCTTGAAGCGACATCGAAAGCAATTCCTGATGAGATAGGAACATCGCCAATGGCAGTCCTGGTGGTCGCATCAGCGGTTTCGCTCAATTCTGGGTCTGCCGAATTCTCGTCCGTCACTTGAGCAAACGCGGCTTCAAAGGCTCCGTTGTTGACCGAAGTGCATGGGACATTATGGAAACTGATCGGCAAAGCGGCGAGATTCCCAGTTGACGCCCTCAAAAAAAAAGTTGTCGGATTGAGGAATGTTCAACTACAAAAGGGTCAGCGACGTCTAGCATGGACTAATAACCAAAATTACCTGAGCGGCAGCTGTACCTCCATAGCTGAGATCCACGTTGACAGGAGACTAAGTAACTTGTACTGAGAAACTGAAGGCATTCTTGTATCGCGCCACAGTGCCATTGGAACCTGATAATGGAGAAAATGCCTGGTCCTGGCTCTGCATTGTCAAGCTCAAATCCGAGAGCGCGATGGATTGCCAATAGTGCTCCGACTAGAGACTCCATTGAAAATTGTTCCCCGAGGGAGGAAGTAGAAATCGTCCAATGAAAACTTAGATTGTGCAGCAAATACGTCGCAAATGAGGTGAACCTGGTACTGTTGTCAGCATCTACGAAAGATGCCGCGAATGCAATTCTGCTTACTGGACTGGGTGTGTGATTACCGACTGGCCTTGCATGTTATAATTCGGCATCCCGGCGTTCGCAGTAGTGGATCAAAGTGAGTATGCCGCGTACGGCCTGTCTTAACTAGCTGACCTGGAGGCAGTGCAATGATCACAATATTATGGCCTTGCCGCGTCCAGCTTTATCCGCTTTGCTAGCCTTTGACCGCTCTGGAAGCTGCTTAATTTTCACACCTGGAATGCGAAATGTAGGTGCAGTTTTGGACCAGTAGTTGCATATATGGGTGGCAATCCTTCGCAGCATGAAATTTGAATGTCTTCCGCTGTTTTGGAGGGCCATAGCGCCTTTTTGGGAGGGGTATGGACGTTGCAGCCAGAAGTTGCGTCTTGTTACGGCCAGTCAACATTGACGCGTGCTTTGCGACTTCATTTACCTCGGTTACGGCGCGCCTCTGAAAATATTTGAGCAAACAAATTTGCAAAGAAATGGCCCGCGCACTCTCTTGCTTGAAGCTGCACGATCGTTGACTATGACTTGCCTTCGACAAGCAGCCATGAAAGTAAAGATGTAAATATGCAAGTTAATCAAAATGCCATCGGCAGCAGACGTATAGCATAGGCTTACTGGCAGCTGAGGGCGATCTGCTTTCCCATCGGTTGTGAAGCTGTCAGATTTCAGATCATGATGTAATTAATGATGATATCGGATATCGCTGATATATCCTGATATATCGCGTAACGGCCTGCTGGATTTAAAAAAATATTGTCTCCAGATGGGATCGCGGCCAAGCGGCCGCTCAGCTTCGATCGTCAGAGGCGCCTCGATAGCCGTGGGGTGGAGATGATTGCGTTTGTTCTGCGACTTGGACAAGGCCGCGCTTGAGGACTCAGCCTTGACGCGGTCATGAGATTGCGACTTCCCCGAAGGAACCGGAAGAAAGGGAGAAACAGAACGAGGACTCTATCCAGTCGCGTTAAGATGGCGCTTCTGTCCTGGCGCAAGCCTGGATACATGGGTCGGACTTCGATAGATGCTTGAGACCTTCGACGCTGAGCTTGGGTCAATCAGCCACGTTCTTGACCTCAACAGCAACCTCCACGGCAGTAGACGCGGAAAACTTCATGACCCTCACGTCATGTGCAGTCACAGGGGTGATGATAGTTCCGCTTTTGAGCAAGAACTGGTCAATACCGACGAGACCGCAGAAGTTACCGGTAGGGCGATCTTGAATAGACTCCATGTAATGACCCATCATGAGCGCCGTGTACTGGACTGACTTGACGAATAAGTCAGCCTTATTTCCAGGCTCGTAGTCGGGGCCCTGGATATGGATCTCGGGACCAGAACGAACGGTACGGGAGAACGCAAGACCGCAGGCATCCCTTATCCGAAGTGGGCGCCGTCTTTGACAAGTAGGGCCTTGAAATCACAGTCCCTGATATTAATGGCAGACTCATCATCGTTAAGACCTTCGTAGAGCGTCTTAACGCGGCTGCGTTGAGCAGTGGCAGGGGAAGAAAGGTTGATAATTGTCATCTCCAGGAGGGAGTCAAAGCGGGCAAGAACTCGCGCATGACGACCTTGAGGAGAGCATTGCCTTCGACATCTTGCTCGTCAAACGTCAGTTTGACATCGAGATTCTCATAAAGGGGACCGACTTGGCCCTTAACAGCATCGAAAATCATGAAGATCGGATCAAGGACGAACATGTTGAAGGGCCGTTGAAGTGGTTTGCCCTTGGCATCGGAGGCCTTCGTACCCTACTTGCGAACGGCAGAGTTTGAAGTAGTTATCACCCCAGAGTTTAGCCAAAAGCTTGTCTTTATGCGCACAGAAGCCTACCAGCGATCTGGCAGAGGGTGAAAGCCTATTCATGGTGACCTGAACCGAAAGTAACTATACCCTTGTCTGGGAAGACCTGGACGTCACAAAGGGCAGTCGCTGGCACGCTGGTACGACCGGTACAAGGCCTCTTCTGAAATTTGGAGCTCAAGTAAAGCGCGGTCGACCTTATTGATGATAACAACGGGTTTTATATGCTCCATACGCGCTTGATGAAGCTCCATCTCTGTCTGTACACTTCGATACAGTCGGCGACGACAACCAGAGCGCCGTCAGTTGGATGCGGAGAGCAGGCTGTGACTTCTCATGAGAAGTCGACAGGACCAGGTAAGTCGATCAAGTCGATCAAGAACTCCGAGTCGTTGCCTGAAGTAATATTTAATTAGCAAGATTTCGCGAAATTTAAATTGAAGACTTGCCTTCAGCCTTCTGATTAATAATTTCGACATCTTCCTTTTCCATTTCGAAGTATATGGAGATGGCTGTCGATTTGATCGTGATGCCATGCTCTTTTCCATCGTCTTGTGAGTCTGCAAGCCGCATATCACCAGCTGTCACTGCAGCAATAATAACCTTTGGGATGAGGGCGTGGGCGAGGGTGGACTTTCCGCGATCGACTGCGTAGGTAATACATATTAGATCAATATGCGATCATCAGCAGGATCTTGCTCACCGCGGGCAATGACGGACGCGTTGATCTGAAAAAGAAAGTTTTTGGTCTTTGGCATATTAACGAACTTCAGGGCAGCTCAACGCTGATATGAATGGATCAGCAACGCCGCCATCATGTGCGTTCTAGTACATGGCGCGCGCCTTGGTCGATCTTGTACGTGCGAGTAATTAGTTACTATCGCAAACGTTGTTAACCACAAGGTCAAAGCGCGCGCACATCTACGGCAATGGAGCCAGTCATGATTGGAAGTTGAAAAGCCTTCAGCTTCGAAATTGCTTGAAGGATTTCGAGTATCTGCGTGAACTATACGGGGGTAAGGTTCGAAACTCTTTATTTGAAGCCATGGCTCATAGGGACGAACCTGAGAGAATATTAGAATCTTTCGTTCTGCCTTCCTATAGTCCTCGGGCAACACGCGACGTGGGATCAATTCTGCGAGCTAGCCAAATAGTTCACTGCGCTGAACTTTGAGCTCGGATGATATAATTGAAATGGTTGGTTGGAAGTGGTAGGAGGCGGGAGCGGAGAGTGTAGAGCGCCAGCCTGAGGCTTCGTGGGGCAGCAGATGATGTAGTTGCAGCTGGCGCACTGGAGCGGGGCAAGAAGGTCACTGTTCCTTAGTACAGGAGATTCGAGGCCAACAGAAGCGACAGACGAGAGGCAGGAAACAAACTGTCTACCAAAGGCAATGGTACTGCTGAGGTTTCGATGTGCTTCGAGATCCGCTCAGCAGGTTTACTGCGCCGCGCCTCGAACCAAAGTCGTCATAAGAATGCTACCTCCTTATCGCAAAGTACGTCGATACTTGTGGTTCTGAATTTTGAACACATGCAGACGGTAAACGGTCGGGCGCATAGGCTGCCCATATCGCAGCGCTTGCCTTGTTCGAAGAAGCGGACAAGGCCATAGTGCAAGTTTAGGGTTAGGGGATGGACCCTAGGCGCAATCTGGCCACATGCTTCTGGCCGTATACTTGTCGATTGTTACAGTCGGAGATAATATTAGGATAGGAGTAAAACGGTGCCAACGCTGCCAGTGCTGGCGACAGGCGCTCGGCGTGAGTTTAAATTATGGCACAAGACGCGCGCGAGCAGACGGTGCTCAATCATTGCTGGCGAAGACAACAAGATAAACGCCTCAAGCTCAAATCTGAGCGCTGAGCGTTGGCATCAGCCGGCAGCGAAGCTTCAGATCACGTGATACTTGCGCACAGACCATTACTTGAGCCGAGCGCGAATGTCGATCTATGTCGATTCAACTTGTTTAAAACCAATAAAACTCATTCACTCTCGGAGTCAAAAAATTGTGAGCAGTGCCGCTCGCGCATAAGTAGCATAAAATTGGAAAAGATGATCGTCGAAAGCTTTTGGCGAAATGCACAAGCGGGGCAACAAATAAGATAAGACTCCAAAAGCAAGGCCGACGCAGCAAGGAACAAACTGTACTGCATGCCTCAAGATTCTAGGTGCAATCATTCGCGGACGGTAACAGCTTCCTCAACCCAAAGTTGCCTCGCTTGGGTCCATTCCTAAGCTCGCTTTCCAAGTCGCCAGCCGCATCTGTATGAAATTAGCTGGGTCTCTGGCGAAACTTTAAAGGAATTGCCGCTTCGCGTGCGAGTTATGCGGTGACTGCGATAATAGCGCAATCTACATTTTTAGGCGTTAGAGAAAGGATCGGAGCGGAGGGATTGAACGTCTTACCTCATCATCCAACTCGGCGAGGCGTCTTCTACTTGACTGCACCGTCATCATGATGTGGTTCTTCAAACTGGCGTCCTCCATCTTGACCTCGATATCCCAGGCAGAAGGGCGCTCTGGGGGTACCTGCGCCCTGTTGATGATGATGGAGTAATGGATGAAGTGTTTGCGGCCTGCTACGATACTTGACTAGGTCGGCGCATGCTTCCAGGACCCTGACAAGGAACGTGGCAT